ACTACATGTTCTAACTAGGCCATTGCACATACCAGTATATGCTACTGCTTTTAAGAAGTGAGTAAGCTGAACAGAGCAATCCCAAAACAGAGCTTTTCCATTGTATCCTCCACAGGGCCCAGAGCAATGCCCTGTGCACCTAAATTAAAGGCATACAAATTTCTCCCTTGGCTGGATAGCTCAGTTGGTTAAAGCACTGTCCCCAATATGGCAAGGTAACAGGTTCAATCCCCGGTCAGGGCACATACAAGTATCAACCAATGAATGCATAATTAAGTGGAACAACAAATTGATGTTTCTCGCTTTCTCTCTAAAATCAATAAAAGAATTTTTTAAAAAGGCATACAAGATTTTATTTGGTGCATTTAAAAACACTATCTATGCTATTCCTCATTTCTAAGGCACCCTTTACCCTTGGGGTACTTTAAGGTTTACAATACAGTAATTTATCAAATGTCATCACAGTGCCATAAACTATCCTTTTTGGGGTTATGTTCCATCATTCGCTCTGCTGTCCTGACCCTACACTTTTAAAAAGCCTGAACATCTCTTATGACTCTTCTTATCCACTAAAAATAATAGGCCAACAATACTAAACTTCACCACTCTTCAAATCCCTCTCTGCTTTCCACCAATATGTCATCAAAGAGTGACTTCCTTATGGTTGACCCTCATCTCTTTAGGCCAAGTGAGGAGAAGACCTGGGGAGGAAATGCCAACCAAAAATATACACCAGGAGACAATATCTGTAAAACAGATTGTGTAGAAGAAGAAACAAGCTCAGAAGGTAAATCCAGAGCTCATACACAGATCCAGACTGGCATTTGAGCTGCCCTACGGGAAGAAAGCCTCTCAGAGCCCGGGTCCACACACTGCTGGCCTCAATCCTTGCTCACCTCTCCGCACTACCGGAGTCTAGGTTGCACGACTTCATCACCCAGTATTAGTTAAGCAGTTTGGCTGCGTTAATGTGGCAGTCACACAGAAGTGGACGTTGTACACAATCTGAAGAGACTTTCATATCTAAGGTCTAAAAATCAACCCTGAAAAGCAGATATTGCACAATGCTCTTTAGAGTGCAAAAAAACTCAGAAAGGGAGGAGCTAAAGGTTAAGTCTGAGAACACAGGAAAAAGGATTCGGGCATCTGCAAGGGATCAGAAATCAAAGCTTAAGTCGCCCCACCTGCGGCAGGGGCCTGACCTTTGCCCCCTACATTCCTCCCAGTTGCCCTTCCACAACAATCTCTCCCTCCTCTGAACCCTGCCGCTGCGCGCTTAACCCATCCCAGCTCGTCCGATTTAAAGGTCCTCCTCCCCTTACTCCCTACCACGATGTCAGGGCGGCCTTCACGACCCTGGAACTCTAAGAAGAGACTTCGCTGACCTGTCAGCGGATCCAAAATGGCGGGGCCTAGTCCCAGGACCCGCAGCCGCTGCTCATGTCCAGCCCGGGCCCCGAAGGCGTCTCCAAGCGGCTCTCCCGACTGTGACGGCAGATGGGAAAAAGGAAGTGACCCTTTTCCTGAAAGTTGAGGCTGTAGTCAGGGGCCACACAGTGGCCGGTAAGACTCGGCCGGAACGGGTGGTGGAGCCGGCTACCTTCCCTGTCAGCTCACTGACGTGGTAACTAGCCTCAGTCTATCCCGCTGCCTGGTAACTGCGCGAGCCCTGCCGCGCACAGCCAATCATTACTTTGCAGTGTGAAAAGTGGCATTGCAGCTAACCAATCGAAGAAAGAAAATTGGCTTCGAGAGGTGGGTTGTGCCTAAAGAGGTGAGATTACAAGCGAAAGAAAAGTGTAGGTAGGAGACAACCAATGGATACAAGGATTGTCTGAGTGACAATAATAAAAGCCAATAAAAGGACAGATTATGCTGGGCGGTTGGAGAGGTGGAGTTAGCTAGAGTTCGGTTGCAAAGCAACTTGGCAATATCTGCTGGGCATTATGGGGAGGAAAGCTACGATTTGCTGGAAAGGGGGCGGGGTACATTTTGAGACCCTGAGCGGGCGATTCTATTCTCTTATCCTTGTCCTGCCCAGGCCACTCTCTATCAAAGTCACCTAGACCAAAATCGTGCCCTTTAAGGGAACATTTCAACACGAGGCAGCTTCTGGGTTCCCTCCATACTAGGCCCAGTCCCATAATTTATTCCATCCTCCCCTTACTCTCCTCACTGTCCTGTCTGGCTTTTCATAGATGTGTCTGTTCCATTCCAACTCTGTTTCTGTGTCTTGTGCCCCATTCTTTTCAGGCAGAAATATGAGTCCAAGAGTAGAAAGATGGACTCCACGTTTGCATAACTATTTACTGGTAGAGCAGAGAGACTAACCCAGGTGTCCTCATCCCCAGTTCAGTTTTCATTTTCACTGCCTTTCACTATCTCTTTTTTTTTAAAATATAACCCATAATTCTTTTTTTAAATTTTAATTGTTGCTCAAGGACAGTTTTCTGCCTTTTCCCCCCACCCCGCTTTCACTATCTATTATGCCCTAGTCTATCAGGCTGTGACTTCCAGCTCTGCCTCTCATACTAAGCCTTGGACACTCTTTAACTACCGGAACAAAGCTAATCACACAGGTTAGTCCACATCAATGGTGACAAGAAGCTGAAGTCTTTCCCATTTGCCTTAGAAATACTAAGAAGCCTAAAGGCTAGATGCCCACCTCAGTCTTCATTCTCCAGGTGCCTCTCCTCCTGCAAGAGATGATAAAAGTTGCTAGGATAGTTACAATTACCTAGAAGTGAGAGTGTGTAGGAAAAGGACAGGGGGATGGATTTTCTCCTTGCAGATTGACTGATGAAATTTCCTGCCTGTTTTCTGGAATAGAGCCCAGGATTCGCTGCAGACCTGAAGAGACTGCTGGGAAGCAGTGAAAAAAAGATACAAACTCTCTTCCCATTTCCTCCCATTTGTGGGTGATCCAAATCCAGGGAAGTGCTATACCTAACCCCTACATTTTGAGAAATGTAGTCTCAAAAACAGACACCCAAAGACCATCCATGTGCTAAGATTCTCTAATTAGAAGAACTCATTAGACTTGACATCAGACCTGCAGAACCTCTTACCAGCTTTCTGAACCTGTACATTGGGCTCATGGTCTCTGGGTCTAACTGAAGATCTTGCCTCTTCACCCAAAGAGAAGAGAAGATACAACCACCATAGCACTTCTTTCCACAGTACCTCTGAGCCATTATCCACTTTCATCGGAATATTGGAATTTGGTCTCCTGGGTCTATATCAGATTAAGAGGTCCTAAACAACCAAAAATTGGAAAATCCTCCAAGTGGGCCAAAACTCCCTACTCCCCCATCTCCACTCCCACATACTTCCAAAAATTAATCAGCCTAAAAGCATGAATGGGATTGTGTGTTAGAGATGATGAGGAGAGAAATGACCATGTCCTAGCCCCTCCTAACCTCCATCTTAACTTACTTACCAGGTAGAACATATCCCTCTTAGACTTCAGTATAGAGTTCCTACATTATTAGAAACATGGGGGGGAGACATGGTACTTGCCCTCCTAACTCTTAGTATCATAGGGGACAACATATAAGCTGGTCACTTCAGTATGGAGGGTATGTACAGGAGAGTTGTGGGAGCAAGACACCAGCCATCTGGCTAACTTGGGAGTTCAGGAACAGCTTCCCAGAGAAAATGAGGCCTGAGTGGAGCTCAAGAGGATGATTGAGAATTGACAAGATGAAGACTAGCTGGAAATATGTTACTGTCAGAAGAAAGGCCAGAGGTGTGCAGGAATCTACTAGGAGATTGGAGATTAAGACAGAGTCAGATCCTGAAAGTCCTGTAATGCCAGACAGGGGAGCTTGATCTTTATTCTGAGGGCTCAGGAGCCATTGAAGGATTTTAAGCAGACATATGACTGGTCAGATTCATCTTAGGAGCATGCTGTGTGACAGGGTTTAGGGCCCTCAGGGGCACTCAAACACCCTAACCTGACTCCACATGTTCCTTGGGACATCTGTCCTATTCCTTGCAACTTGCTAACTAGCAAGCACCAAGGCCACATCTTGCTCACAGAACTGAACCTGGCATCCCCAAGGAGAAGCTAGCCCTGTTAAGGCTGGAAGAGCATAGCCTGGGCAAGCCAAAAGTGCAGACTCACAGGTGAACTGCCCAGGCCTCTGAAGAGTGCCCAGTCCAAGCCCTGAGAATCAGTGAGAGCCTCCTTTAACTTTTGGGGATGCGTGGAGGCAAAAGAGTAACAGTTACTTCTCCAAGGTCACCCAGTGATTGTGTGCTCGGTCACAGGGTTAGAATGATGTTTTCATTTGTTTAATTCCAAACTCTTCTTCCTCCACAAAGCCGCCTTCCTTAGAGGAGAGAAAAAGCAGGGAGAGGGCGGGAGATAGCCAAGAAGAGAAAGGAGAGAAGATGTGAGGGGAAAGAGGAGCTGAAAGAAACAGACACTAGTCTTTCAAAGTGGCAGAGAAGGGAGGAGAGGGACGAAAAACAGGAGCAAAGCGGTGGAGGAGAAAAAAGAGGAAAGAAAGGCGAGACGTGGGAGGATTGGAGCAGACACAAAAGGGCAGAGAGACAGACAGCGACAAGTGGAGAAAATCTCCGAAACTTGAGCGGCAACGAAGTCTGAGCTCTGAAAATCGCCGGCCTCTCTCGGCCCGTGCGCCCTCCCACCAGGCACCCCGGCAGCCCTATCCCCGGCACCGCTCCACTTCTCTCGGGGTGGCGCCTGGGCCCCACCTCGCCACTGGAGGGCCCGGCCTTGGTGGGGCTACACAATCCACCCTACGTTCTCCAGTTTGGCTCTGCCAAAGCACTTTTGCTGGAGCGCGGTTTCAGCCACGTGGGGAGGGGCGTGTCCTAGTTACTGAGAAGACCCTCCGATTGGTCAGGGGGCGGGGTTATTGGCAGTGCGCTGGCCAGACCCCACCCCCGAAGGCGGTACCTGAAGATTCACAGCTGGAAAGGGTGGAGCCCGGGAAGCGCAGCTGGAAGGGGGCGGGGCCCTACGGGCGAGGCTGGCCGCTGCGGGCTGGGGGCGCCCTGGGCTTGCCATAAAGTGAATGGGCTCAGGCAACGGGTGGCAGTTCGCAGCGAGGTTCACTCTCTCCCTCAGCTAGTCCGGGAGCGTCCTAGCGGAGCGGTGGCCTGGGCGCAGGGGGGCGGCCCCCACTCCGGCCGGGTGCCCGGCCGCTGGCCCCTGCCTGCCCTCCAGACTGCGGCCGCCGCCGCAGCCGCCGCTGCCTGGAGTCTGCTTGCTGCTGGACTCACTGTGAGTGCTTGACCCTGCGGGGGACAGGAGCTCAAGGAGCCAAGGGGCCATGGCTGGTCTTCAAGATCCCTAAAATGGGACTTGGGTCCGCTAAACTAGGGGACGGGTCGAGACTGGGAGAGCGGTTTGCAGACCCAGGGCCAGGACTTAGGGAAAGAGAAATTCAGCGTTAGAAGTAGGGCTACAGAAAAAAGGGAGACTCAGAGGAGCCGGAGGGACACTGGGGACATGAAGCCAGGACAGGGGCTCCGCGAAGCAGGGAGTAAAGAGCCGGGAAACCATTACCAAAAAGCACCCTGGAATCCGAGGGCTCGAGGGGCAGGCAGCCAGGGAGCTAACGGGGTTACTGAGGCCCTGGCCAGTGGGGGGAGCTGGCGGCGGCTGCCCAGTATGGGGGCAGTTGTCGGCGCCCGACTCCCCTCGGCTGGGGCTCAGACTCAAGGGACCAGGAGCAGGCTTGCGTCTGGTCGCACACGCTTCTCTTCTCAGCTGCTTCGCAGTTGCGATAGCAGCCTTGTAGTGAGAGGCTGGCCGCGACCGGGGCAGATGGCCGCTGTCCGGGCGGCAGGGAAGTGGCTGGGCAATCCGAGTCACCAGGCAGCGGATCTGGCGTTTCGGACTTGGGGTGTCCGGGCTCTCATGGGTCTCGGCCTGGGACCGCCACAAATCGGACGGAATGTCCGCAGCGCACGGGGCTGGGAGCGGACAGAATGTCCAGGCGGAGAGGTGGGTCTCTCTGGAGCAGGCGCTGTGTCGGGCAGCGGTGGACAGAATGTCCCTGGCCGAATGGCTTGTCCATTTACGCGTCAGCGCCTGCCCAGCTGCTGCGTGTACAGTGGGGTTTGCTGTAGTGGGTTGCCTCAAATCCCACTTTGCAAACTTGTTTCTGCACCTAGGAGCTATGAGGCTCAGGAGCAGGGAGTGACAGAAAGACTGCAGCCTGGCCTTGGGGTAGAGTGGTAGTGGGGGAGAGTCCCTCTCTAACCCAAACCAGTTCCAAGTATCTCCTGGACTTCCAGAATCCGAATGTAAAGAGACAAAGCCAATGATAGGACTGTTAGTGGAAATCAAGACCAGAAAAAGAAGGAATAAACCACAAAGAGCAATGGGAGGGCAAGGAAGCACCCAGCACAGGCCCCTGTCAACCTCAGTTCCCTCATAAACTCAGAGGCAACCCCTAATTCTAATACAGCTGATCAGACACCCACAGACTTCTTCCCTGGGTGTCAGTGGGCAAATGGCAGAGAGCAGGAGCTCAGGCCTGAAGAGAAAACTGCAGTCCTTTAGCAAAGCAAACCCTGTGGTCTTGTTTCCCTTTTTGCCCCCTCAGCCCCACCAATCTGAAAAAACACTCTGGTGGCTGAGAAGAGGTAGAAAGGGGGAGGCATGGAATCCAGTCACTTGGATCTAACATGAAACCTTATGGGCCCCAACTCTGGCTGGGAAGGAGGTCTCAGCCCTACTCAATTGCCCTGTGTGCTTTCCTTGTAGCTGGGGGAGGGTGCTTATTCCTCTGGACCCCTGCAATTACCACCTAACCTGACCCCAACCCTTTAACTAGCCAGCCCCCAGTAAGGCTGAAGGAAACAGAGCAGAGAGAATTCCCCTAGTCTATGTTAGTGAACCAAACAGTCGGCCTGGGGACTGAATTTTCATGGGGACAGGTGCAAGGTGATGTGTTTAGCAATAAGTAAATAGTCTAAACAAGTGGGTCTCAACCCTCACCCATGAGTGACATGGAATATATATTCCTCACTCCCACCTCCATTCCTCAATTTCAAAGTGTGCTTATTAACAGCTGGAACATTGTTACTCAACCTTTTTTGTTCCTTGCCCCTTTTTGATAAATGTGGAGTCAAATCCCAATATCCCACCACATTCTGATACCCTCTTCAGGGGCTTGTGCTCCCATTACCTTTGCAAATCACAATGATGGGTGAAGTGAAAGGCTCCGAGCCAGAAAAGGAATAGGGAAGGCATTGCAGATGGTTCCCTGAGGACCTTAGCCCAAAGTTCTGCTTTTATCAAAAAGGCCAAAAAGCAACAGCATTATAATGAAGATGATTGGAAACAAAAGGCAAAACCTTCTCCCTTCCTTGCATAAAACTACGTAGCTGAGTGCACGTCTGAGTCACTGGCTCTAAGAATGTCTTGGGCCTAGAAAGGGGTCAGAGAATCGTTGGCAGCAGGGGAAGCCAGTGGCTGCTGGAGACAGCAAACTTCAAAGTGTAGCCTCTGGAAAGTGAGATGGGGGGACATTCACAAAATAATAAAAGGCATGGATAAGCAGAAGGCGTGTTTGCTCCCCAAATCCTAAAACTGGAGATGAGGGGGCCTCTCAGAACTGGAGTGACACAAGTATGGGATGAACAGGAAAATGTTCCTTGGCACACAGTGGACATCCTACGTCCAGAGCTCATTTTCAGCGAGGTGGTAGAGGCAGGAAGTGGAAATGGAATCCTTCAGGGCTTGGGAGGATCAGTGCGTGTCAGAGCCATAAATGGCTGCTGGAGTGGAGGGGGCAAGAAGTGGAAAAAGAGCTCAGTCCCTAGTCTTCAATCTCTTCAATATGTGTAAGCGTAGACAAATTCATCTTCTTAGAGATGAAATGGGGGTGGTCATTCCCACCATTAGTGGTTGTAAGAATTAAATGAAATTATATATAGGAAAGCCCTTTGCAAATGGAAAAGCACCACAGAAACAAGAAGCATTATTGCCATTATTATGCCCAAGCTGTGGAGTCTTTGCTTGGAAGGGTGGTGTCTCAAGTCTTAGGCCGGACAGAGAGCATCCCTGATCCAGCCACAGAAAGATTCTCAGTGACGGATGGAACACCCTACCTCAGGCTTCAGATGTCAGCCATTACCCCTGCCCCTCTCTGAGTAGAGTTCAAGGGAGTTCCTCAAAGGCTTAACCCCTCTGCCAGGCCACATGTGCTCATCTGTTTTCTGCCTGCCTGCCTGCTGCTCACGGATGCAGATATGGACCCCAAGACCCTGTCCAGGAAGACGGGCAGGGGAGACAGACAAGCTGAGCTGGGGTGGGCATGAGAGAAGGCAGGAGCCACCTACTCTTTTCTCCATTTACTCTAAATGATGCTTCCTAGACTGTGGGGAAGGAAGATGGCAGCTAACCTGAAAGATCCATTAGATCCTGAGCTTTGGGGTTTAGAGTGTCTAGCTCATGGCAACCAACAGGGACCATGATCAGAGTGATGGAGAGAGAAAGGAAAAGATAGGTGGTGGGATGAGAGTTCTGTTCACGGAGTCCCTTTCCTGTCTCTCCCCTGCTCAACCCATTCTGCTCACCAAGGACAAATAAAGGTCCCAAAGATGCTGCTTTTATATCACTCTCCTGCCTGTAAGCCTCCAGTGACTCCCACCGCTTGGAGCAATGCTTCTCTTTAGGGGCTTGGGGTGGAGGAGCACAGTATAGGAGAGGGAGGAGCATGACACTGCAGGCTAAACACAGCCCATTTATCTTCCTGGTGTGATGATGTCACCAGGAGGACTGGAGAGAAAACTTTAATTATATATTTAAATAAACATACTAACTTTAAATATGGAATACAATGCAAAATTCACTTCAACTCTTAACATAAGGCTGGAGATCTCAAAGAAATTTCATACTGGTGGCAGCTGTTTTTGTTTGTGCCCCTGGTTTCCCGGGGTGATAGTCTCTCTCACTTGTCTTAGTGGGTTTGTTTTTATGGAAAAGCTGGAGATGCTCTGGGCTAGAATGTATCAGACCTGAACCACCACCCTTTGCCCCTCATTGGAGACTCCCCCCACCTGACCCAGTTTTCTCCGATGACTTTGCAGCATTGCCCACACAGAGACCCTGGCCAAGCTAGGCTCCCTGTTGCCCTCTGAACCTGCCTTCTCATTTCCAATCCTGCTCTATTATTCAGAAGCCTCTGCTCCTTCTCTTTCTCCAGAATTCCTAGCTCAACTGTGTGCTGCTATCTCTGAGCCCCCAAACATACCCTTACACGGGCTTCCATTTCTCTGTTTCCCAGAATCTGAGAACCAGGCCCATGAAGCCCATCATTTCATCTTGTGCTCTGCTTGCCACCACAGACTGCAGGCTCCTAGCAGTTAGGGTCTATGCCTTACCAATCTTGGGAATCTGTCTCAGAATTTAACACTTGCTAAAGGAGAGAAGAAAGGAAGGGAGGGAAGAGTGTGGAAGTTAATTTCTCTGATCCCTGATTTACCCCTTAATGAGTTAAGCGCATCAAATTATTGCTGCCTCCACCCTGGCCAGTGTGGCTCAGTTGGTTGGAGCATCATCCTGAAAGGCTGGGGATTCGATTCCCAGTCAGGGTATGTATGGGAGACAACCAATCAATGATTCTCTCTCACATCCATGTTTCACTACCTTACTCTCTCTAAAATCAATAAACATATTTTTAAACATTCTTTTTCTTCAAAGATTTTATTTATTTACTTTTTAGAGAGAGGGGAAGGGAGGGAAAAACAGAGGGAGAGAAATACCAATGTGTGGGAGATACAGTTGCCTCTCACACGCCCCCAGCTGGGAACCTGGCCGGCAACCCAGTCATGTGCCCTGACTGGGAATTGAACAGACAACCTTTTGGTTCTCAGGCCAGCACTCAATCCACTGAACCACACCAGTCAGGGCAATAAATATATTTTAAAAATTATTGCTGCCTCCACCTGAGTCTTTGGGTTTCCTCTTGGGGTTGCAAGCCTCGTCTACAGCTGTCTTCATTTGTTCCCATTTGTCGCTGCAGTTCAACAGACCAGACATTTCGGGTGCTCGGCATCAGTAAGGCACGGGAGGCCGTGTGCACTTCAGGGCCCCGCTTCCGTTTCAGGTTTATACGATGGGTTAGGGCCCTGTTTACACCTGTTCGCCACTTGCTGCTTGCTGAGCCACAGCATCACAACTCCATCCCCTCTTGTCTTCCTCTCAATCTCACCCCTGCAAGAGAAAGTACTTTGGTTCCTATGTGTGCTTCCTGCCGTGGGCATTATTATTGCAGCTTCTTTGGGGCTTTCTGGCTGTGGCCCTGGTTTACTGCTTTGGCTTCAGAACAAAAGTGGGTACACATGGCAGTTGCCCTCTTGCCGTGAATTTGTGTCCCTCGGAGAAACCATGGTCTTCTCACTATGGCCTCTCTGGCCTGTGATAGTCTCTGCTCTCTACCTTAATGTATCTCAGATATTTTGTTTTTGCTGCAGTTTGCGACAGCTTCCTGTACTTCTAACTTGTACTTGTGAATCGGATCACACCTGTAGGTCCCCCCTTCTCCTTAGGGCTAGAATTGCCCCCCTAACACTAATGGGGCAGGGTAAGGGGCCGTGTTCTCAGCCATACATCCCCTGCAGGGTGTATCCGAAAGGCTGGAGGCGGGACAGGCAGCCCCTCTCAAAGCACCACGGTTATCTCTTGGCTTTCTTTGACCCTGCCTGGTAGTTCCTACCAGCATCAACTAAACCTTTGGCTCCCTGTCCGCTGGGTGAGGTGAAGTCCCTGGCCTCGGTCCCAACTTCCCAGCTTCCTGACCTCCAGCAGTTTGGGGGGAGCTTAATCCTCAGCCAGCCTGTCTCCAGCTCAGACAACCACTTGGCGCCCCCAGCCTCTGCCTGACCAGCCCACCAGGGCACAAGTCTGCTAGAGGCCTATGCCGCCACCCTCTGTCTCCCTATCGCCTGCCTGGCTCTAGCGTTCTTTTCAGTTTCACAGTCGCGGCCCTTCTCAGCCTCATCCCCTCCATCTACTATTACCAACCCGGTCAGGAGCCTGAGGCTTCATTCTTTCCTTTACCAGTCTTTGGTCCCCCAAATGGCTCCCAGCCTGCATTACTCTACCCGTTCTGCTGCTATCTGAGTGACTAGGCTCTCCTTTATGTTCCGGACAGAGTACTCACAACGCACATTTGCATCCCTCTTTTTTTTTAAGGTTTATTTCTCTATTTAAAAAAAATATTTTTATTTATTTTTAGAGAGAGGGGAAAGGAGGGAGAAAGAGAGGGAGCGAAACATCAATGTGTGGTTGCCTCTCACACCACCCCTACTGGGGACCTGGCAGGCAACCCACGCATGTGCCCTGACTGGGAATCAAACTGGCAACCCTTTGGTCCACAGGCCAGCACTCAATCCACTGAGCTACACCAGCCAGTGTTGCATCCCTCTTTAAAATGTGGCATACTCACCTCTTTATTCACCAGAGAAATTCTTCACTGGGAGATACAGGGTCTAGGGATGAACCACTCAAGCAAGAGCAGAGATGAGGATGCAGTCGTACTTACCACTCTATCCTTGGTGACTTACTCAATGCCCAGCTTTTAGAAGGTGCCAAATAAACATATCTTCAATAAATGAGAAAAATATATACTTGGATGGAGTTGTGTACGCCTACCCACTTGTACACATTATGTTTTATTTTAACCTTATAATAATACTGTAGCTAGATAGGTAAAGGATTATGACCTCCCTTCTAGAGATGAAAAACATATGCTCAGAGAGGAAAAGTAATTTGCTAAGAATGCACAGCTAATAAGTTGGGGGACCGGGACATGAATCAAGATCTCTTGACTCCAAACCTAATTTCTTTGGGCTATTCCAGATTACTTTCCTAAAAGGGGCCTGAGTGATTTTTGCTCCCCACTCCACCTCATCCTCCTCCTCCAGCATTCTCCTGCCATCTCCCCACTCAGCTGAGCACACTCTCCCCAGAAGCCACTGACTATAGACTACCCCACCGCTCCTTTGGCCTCCTCCTACCCACAGAGTCCTTAGTTGCTGGGACTGAGAGCTGAGGTTCCGAGGGGCCAGGAAGGGGAGGGGGAGGTAATGGCTAGCTCCAAAACAGCCGAGGCAGCTGTCCCTGTCACAGAGAGAGGAGACTGTGTGACAGTGTGTGTCTGTCTGCTTGAATGTGGGAGCGCATGTGTGGGAGAGTATGTGTTTGTATGCCTCTAGCTCCAAGTCCAAGTGCTTATTTTGTCTGAGTGGGGGTCCATTTGTGTCTGCATGTGTGTCTGTCTGTCTCTGGGAATACGCAGCCTGAACTCTGCTTTCTCAGATTCATCCTTTACTCTGGCCCTTATCTCTCCTCACCCTGCCTCCCTCTGCTGAAATAAAGGGTGAAACCAAGACACAGGTATGGAATGCTGGGGGAAGGGGAGTTGGGGAAATTAGAAGTCTGCAGCGAAAGCAGACAGGAAGGATAAATGGCAGTGGCGGGATTTAGCTTTCCCTCCAGGCAAACCCAACTGTCTCTCTTTCCCCATCTGTGTTGCTCCCACGGCCTCTGAAGAAGTCGGGGGCACAATTTGCATTTTGAGAGCATCTTTTAAAAAAAGATTTTATTTTAGTTTTTATTTCATGTACTGGAGGTAACACTGGTTAATAACAAGTAAATTTCAGGTGTGCGACTTTATAATGTATCTCTATGCTCTGTTGTGTGCTCACTGCCAAAAGTCTAGTCTTCTCCGGCACCATGCATTCCATACCCTTTACCTTCTTCACCCTCTTGGGTATGAAGTAAGGGGATACTTCTGAGCACCCCTTTCTCCAGCTCTCAGTTCTGAGCCTTCCCAGCTATTTGGGAAGAGCTACTAGTGAAGGCTGCCACAGGTCCCTCCCAAAGGCATCTCCCTTCCATCGGAGCATTGTTGAGCCAGCCCCAAGCCTCTGACTGCTGACCTCACACCTGAAAGGGGAGAGGTAAGCTGAGCACCCCACCCCTGTCCTGACTTCTCTCCTTCCTTTCCAGGTTCCTTTCAGCCCTGCCTCCTTAACCCTAGGAAAAGATCCAAGGTCCGGTCCCCTCTGCCTGTGGAAGGAACAAGGATTATTTCTCAGCTCCTGCCTTGACTTCTGTCCTACCCCAACCTTACTTGAGAGGTGGGGGTCGGGGGCAGCTGTCACCTCTGAGCTGGTTGAAGGGGACATTATCGTGTGCACATACACACCACTGCCCATCCGTGCCTCCCTGAGAAAGGCTCCTAATAAATTCAGAGCAGCCAAGTGGCACACATCTCTGTTTAGGCTAATCTACAGCATTAATGCCAACTTTCATAGCCTGCATTAAATCCCTGTTAATGGGGAGGCAGATGGACCCCTCTCGCCCAGCTCTTCGCCAATGTTCCTCTGTCCCTAGCCTCCTCTGGTTCTCCTCTGACCTAGAAGCATCCAGAGTCCCTGAGTCCCACTAGTGCCCCTTTTCCTTCCTCCTACCAAGGGGGGCCTGGGAGAGCCAGCAGGAAAGAGGAACCTGCAGGGGAGACTTGAAGAGGAACCCAGGCAGGCCCCTGGGCAGGGACAGGCAAGGTCTGGAACAGGGAGTAAGTGTAGCAAGGTGCATTTGGAAGCTCCCATAGACTGCCTGGGGCGGGCCTGGTAGGGGTGTGCAGGACAGTGGAGCAATGACTGGTAGGAAATGTGTCTGGGCAGGCACAAAGCAGACAAGAGCCAGAATGTGTAGTGATTCGACTAAAAAAAATATTTTATTTATTTATTTTTAGAGAGACGGAAGGGAGGGAGAAAGAGAGGGAGAGAAACATCCATGTGGGAGAGAAACACCAATTGGTTGCCTCTGGCGCTGAGCCAGTTTGGGGCCGGGCAGAAACCCCTGCATGTACCTGACGGGGAATGGGTCCGAGGACATTTTGTTTGTTTGTTTGTTTGTTTGTTTGTTTGAAGGCTGGTGCTCTATCCACTGTGCCACACCTGCCTGGGCTCAACTTATTTTTTTATTCTGGAATCCTTTCTTCAAATGAAATCTATCCATAAAGCATTAAAATGAAACAACAGAAATGGACAAAAGCAGGGCCACGCAAGGGTGCCATCCCTGAGGCCCGTCCTGAGCTCCAGTGCCTGAGGGGGTTTCTGGGTAGGGCCCCAAAGAACACAATTCGAAGGAGCAAACGGTGAAACACGTATGAGATTCAGAGTCTCTGAGAGCTGGTTCACATCCCAGTTCCACTACTCACAAGCTTGTGACCCTTAATCGTTACTTCAGGTCCCAGTTTCCTCACCTGAAAAAGGCGATCATACTTTTACTAGTGAGGCATTCTTGTGAGGGGACAGATGATGAGATAAAGGCATACAGACAGAACTCGTAATTGACAGCAGTGATTACCCTAATGGGAGAAATATTTGGCCTGGTTCAAAATCAAATCTGCCTCAGTGGAGAGGTTCTGGCTGCATCTCAGGTGTCACTGGCTGAGGGGCCCGTATAAGCTGTGCGGCTACTGGCTGTTCATACAAGAGGGAACTGAGGTTTTTGAGGATGTGTATAGCATGTGGCATGCAGTGGTGTGATTTTTCACTAATTCAATAAATATCTTGAACACCAACTGTGCACAGGCACAGTTCTAGGTGCCCAGCAGTGAACAAAAAAATGTCTAGTGTGTATATCTGCACATAAAACCTGTGCGTATACACCTTTCCCCCTCAGGCTGCTGTTTCCCCACTCTACCCTAGGGCACCCCACTCAGGGGTAGCTTTATGGTGGTGGCTGAGGAAGAGGATAGCGAACCTGTGGGGATATACTTCTGGGAACCAGATAACCGGGAGATTTTGTCCCCAGGGACCTGGTCTGTGTCTTCTCTTCCCTCCAGAGTCTTCTCTCCATGGAGTTCGGCCTACTCAGCGAGGCGGAGGCCCGGAGCCCGGCCCTGTCGCTGTCAGAAGCGGGTACTCCCCACCCCCCACTCCCAGAACACGGTTGCAAGGGCCAAGAACACAGCGGTGAGCGCGCCCCCTTCTGGGAGTAGGGGAGATAAAAATTCAATCCTTAATGGGGGTAGAGCCCGGGTGGGAGTGAGGGGCCGCTGAAGAAAGTACCCCAGCCTGGGAATCCCTGTGACTTGCCCCCACCCGGCCCCAGACTCGGAGAAGGCCTCGGCTTCGCTGCCGGGCGGCTCCCCCGAAGACGGCTCGCTGAAGAAGAAGCAGCGGCGGCAGCGCACGCACTTCACCAGCCAGCAGCTGCAAGAGCTGGAGGCTACCTTCCAGAGGAACCGCTACCCTGACATGAGCACGCGCGAAGAGATCGCCGTGTGGACCAACCTCACCGAGGCACGCGTGCGGGTACGCGCTCCCAGATCCGCAGCCCTCACTGCGCCCCGGCCATTCTCTCTTGGGCAGTTTAGCTACTGACTTAGAATCTGCAGCCTGTGTTTCTGCCCTGCCTGCCCCACCCTCTGGGACCCGACACGTCCCAAGGCCCCGGACTGCTGCCCCACGCGGCTTTCTTTCCACCAACTTTCAGTCTCACCCCACCCTGTTACTCCAGGCCTCTCGCTTCTCATCCTCTGAGACTATCGCTTTATTCTTTTCGTCTCCCCGCCTTGACCCCATCCTACTGCAAGACCCTCACGTCGCCCACTGCCTCTGTTCTCAGCCACCTGGCTCCGTGTGCTCCTCGCGACCCGCATTCCCATCTCCAGCCACCTTATCTTGTATCCTCATTACGGCCCGGCTGGAACCCGGATCAGGGCTGCCCAACCACCAGCCGCGCCGACCCGGTCCGGGACCGGCCCGGCTCCCAGCCCTGACAGCCTTTTCTCCCGCGCCCGCAGGTGTGGTTCAAGAACCGGCGCGCCAAGTGGCGGAAGCGCGAGCGCAGCCAGCAGGCGGAGCTGTGCAAGGGCGGCTTCGCCGCGCCTCTCGGGGGGCTCGTGCCACCCTACGAAGAGGTGTACCCCGGCTACTCCTACGGCAACTGGCCACCCAAGGCGCTCGGCCCGCCGCTCGCCGCCAAGACCTTCCCCTTTGCCTTCAACTCAGTTAACGTGGGGCCTTTGGCTTCGCAGCCCGTCTTTTCGCCATCCAGCTCCATCGCTGCCTCCATGGTGCCCTCGGCCGCCGGCGCCCCAGGCACCGTGCCAGGGCCTGGGGCACTGCAGGGCCTGGGCGGGGGGGCCCCCGGGCTGGCTCCGGCCGCAGTGTCCTCTGGGGCAGTGTCCTGCCCTTACGCCTCTGCCGCCGCAGCTGCTGCAGCAGCCGCTTCCTCTCCCTACGTGTATCGGGACCCGTGTAACTCGAGTCTGGCCAGCTTGAGGCTCAAGGCCAAACAGCACGCCTCTTTTAGCTACCCCACGGTACCCGGGCCGCCCCCGGCAGCCAACCTCAGTCCGTGTCAGTACGCCGTGGAAAGGCCCGTATGAGTGAGTGGCCCAGCCCGTCGGTCATCCCCAAGGGCGAGGTCGATCATTCACAGCCTCCCTGGACTGGTCGTCTTGACTGGCTCGCCCCCGCCCCGGTCCCAGAGCGACGCTGGGGCAGCTGGGGGGAGGGAGGCGCCGGCTCGGGAGACAGCCTTTCGTCTCCCAGCTCAAAGGGGTGGACTGGGCCCTCCGCACGGTCCAGGGACTTAGCGCCCCTGGGACTAAGGCCAGGAACAGGGACCAGTTCCCCCGGGGCCGAGTCACCCTTGGCCCACCCCGACTTCTCCAGACTCCTCCTCTCCCATTTATCATTTTCAAAGATAAATGAAATAAATGTGCGCGGACTGTCAAAGGCCTGATGTTTCAGAGTTGCGGTGGAGCCCTCTCCCCTCATCCTCCCGCACATTTAAAGGAGACCTTGGTGTACAGGAAAGACACCTTCTTCTACAGGAAAGGTCCAACTTCTAGGGCTTCAGTGCCCTTCAGTCGCTAACACCAGGATGAGGAAGTCCGAGGATACCTAGAGCAGAGGGGCGCACGCGTGTTTGCCTGTTTGTGTGGAAGGCCTGGGGACCAGCTACTGGGCCGGCGTTGGCCAAAGCTGGTGCTGCAGCGCCACCTTGTGGTCTCGCGGAGGATAACGGGAAGATCTTGCCTGGAGCACTCACTAGTAGGTGTCACTTCTGCAACTTAGGAAGCCTATGACCTTAGATAAGTTACTCTGCCTTTCTGTACCTATTTCTCACTGTTCCAATGAGGGGCTTGAGCCTCTAACAGCAATAAAATTCTGGTCTGTAACAGACATTTATTAAGTGCCTACCAGGCCTAGGATTCTTGTTGTCTGCGTGTGTGCCTCCCATCCTTGCCCACATCCTCTCAGACTTCCCACCTACTTACCATCCCACTGCCAGCAGCTGTCTCCCGTCATAGCACACCCCTTCTTCTCCCAAATTCTCAGAACCCCGAAATATTGCTGAAATATTTAATTTAAAAATAGAGCAAGAAGAGGAAGGTTTTGGTATAGAAATATAAATAACAGCTCTGGAGATCCTTCTCAGTCCCAGCCCCATCCCCAGGCCTGCTTGGCCCTCACATTGAAAATAGATACATCAAAGTACTAGATCACACCCCCTTCCTAGCGTTCGTGTTTCCTGTCTGTCACAACTTCCTGCCACCTTGAGAGATACAGCCTAATCATTCTCCCAGACCTAAACCATGCACCTCAGTGCCCTGGGGAAGAGAGACCCTGGAGCTTCTTCTTTTTCTCCAAACGTTTACTCGCTCTTGGTCTTGGCTTTAACCTTGGGCATTACATAGGTTTGGTAGAAGAAGCGAGCAAAGAGGATGAAATAGGCCACATACAAGGTGATGGACCAGAAGAATTGTTCCGTTGTAGTATGGCATCCATGTTGCGGACTCCAGGTGTAAGCCAGGATGACGACAATGGCTCCCATAAGCATCTGCAGGAGCTGTAGGCTGGTGATGAGCCTGGGAAACCACCCGGGGGACTTCATTTTGGCAGCCTTCAGAGTGTAGTAGGTGTACATGAGGGAATGCACACCAAAGTTCATGGTCATGAACCAGCCTCCTGCAGCCACCCTGTTCTTGTATCCAAAGCTTGAGAACACTAGCACCGTGCTGTGGTGGAACCAGTGCACAAAGATGAGCGGCCGCTTACGAAGGATGATGAAGGCTGTGTCTCCTGGGAGATGGGGAGTCATAGCTGGCATGGCACCCAGTGTCAGGACCACCCTCCACACTGAACATGGGAGCACAGGGGGAATTCTCAGGGTTGGGAAAGGTGTCTTTTTGGTAGAGAATCTGAAGAGGGACTTGGGGGAGAGGTGTCGTTAGGACCTACGGGTGGGGAAGGGACTCTCCATGTGATGGGTGAGGGGGACCCTGAGGAAGGAGGCAGTTGACTAGGTGGGTGCCAGAGAGACAAAGTCTTGCCACTCACCAAGTTCAATGATCTTGCTGAGAACAAAGAGGCAGGACCAGAATTTGACTACGGAATCGTTGAGGGAGTTGGTGAAGCACACAGTTTGCTTTAGGCTATTCCTAAGTGCCAAGGCCCACATATAGCCCCAAGTCCTCACTGTCCCCAGGATACTGAAATGGGACAGAGGAAAAGAGTGTAAGTTCATTCCCAGACACCAGTCCACCCTGCCCCTTCAGCCTGGTCAGGTCACTGTCCCAAGCCCTGCCACTTTCCCACCCTTCCAGGAATCATGACTTCTGAGATCCTGGCGCCAATCTAGTAAGTCCAAGAGTAATCTAGAGGAGATGAGGGCGGGGAAAGGACCAGGGAATGCTGGAGGATAGGACTAACAGTTGAGTTAGGGGACAGAGTTCTCAGGATGGGTAGAAGCCTATGAGGAGAGGGGTGGCAGGATGGGGGAAATTGATGGGGGAAAAATGTGGGAGGAAGGGGCTAGGGAAGTTATTGAAAAGGTCTTGGGAAAGGGTATTAGACTCTGGAGAGGTCTGTCGGAGGTACACAGACTCCATGAGCACAAGAGGACTCCTGAGAAAACAGAAACTGTCAGGCGGGAGGCTAAGGAAGGAGAGAGGAAGCTGGGGAGGGGAGCTAGAGCTGAGAGAATGGGATAGGGAGAGCTGGGGGGCAATTTGAGGAGTTGATGCAACTGAGATTTCTAGAAAGCTTTTAGAGATAGAGCAAGGGTCTAGGTTGTACAGGATAAGTGAGGAGTGTCTTACCTGAAGATCGCAAGGCAAAAGGACCAAAGGACGAGAGGCCCCTGTAGGTTGAAGCCCTCCCGTGCCTTCATGTAGTTCTGCCCCACAAAGATGAGCAGGAGGTAGATCAGAGCTATGAGGAACGAGGCTGTCCTGGCAGGCAGAAGGCAGACGGGATGGGCTCGTGGGTGGGTGCTGATTAGCGAAATGCCCACTTATCTAGGTGAGTGTTCTAGATTGGAGCCCCAGCTCTGCCACTTACTAGCTGTGTGACATTGGAAAAACCATTTAGTTCTCTGAGCCTCAGTTTCCTTATTTGTAAAGAGGAATGATACCCCTCCCCTGATGGTGTTAATACAGAAAGTACCTACGATATTGCAGGGGCTGTGTCCAAGGATTTTGTCATTCTTGCTCTCTCAGTGGGGCTGGGAGTGGGTGGTAACTGCTGGCTGGTGCCTAGAACCAACCCAGGGCTGCCGTCTAAGAATATGGCAATAACTTCCACCCGGTTGGGTCGCAGCAAATTGGCCGCAGCACACAGCCCACAAACACCTCTGAGTAGTCTCTGAGTAGCCAGAGAGCCTGGGGAAATCTTGAAGAGCTCCCTGACTTAGCCTCATTCTCCTCAGCAGGGACGATGGAACACTACACGAGCAACACGATAACTGTGAAGGGCGGGCCGTCCCGGGACACCAGCACTACGTGCGCGGGAGCGCACGGCCACCGGAGGCCCCAGCATACAAAGAACAATCATCTACAGGCTGGTGGGGCTAGGAGTTTCAATCAAATCCATCCCTCAGGGACCCTTTCTCACTAAACTCTTTACCCTTGGTTGCTGTCTCTTCTCATACTCCTCACCCCATCCTCTTATTTCTCTCTCTCTCTCTCTCTCTCTCTTTCCGCCCCCACCCCTTTCTTTCTGTCTTTGAGGTCTAATCTCTTTATGGGGCCACACTGCCTGCACCTCTGAGAACGGGGATGTGGAACCAGTGCGGGAGAGCCCCATACCTTTGCTTTTGAAGGAAATCGTGGCGGGCAGAGTCTCCCCCCCCCCGCCCCAAACCGCAGTGATCAGGATCAGACCCCTGGCATGGCCCTTCCCGCGGTCTCACCAGTACTCCTCCAAAAAGGGCCTTATGTCCTGTAACATCTCGAAGTTGTAGGGCTGGAGTAGCTCCTCTCTTTCGTCTGAAACATTCATGACTGTGCCTATTTCGTTCTGCAGACGTTAAGGTCAGGAGCTTGGCCAGCCGAGCGAAAAGGTTGGGGGGGGACCCAGGATGCAGCGAACCTCGGGACGGGACAGAATGGACCCAGGGCCCAAGGAACTCCGCAACAAGCCCAGGAGCGTACGATTCAGGGACAGACACTGCACGCTGACCCCATTCCACCGCAGCCGCGACTGGGATATATAACGCGGAACTACAAAGCTGCGGGTCCAGGCTGTGCGCGGCCACCTCCCTGCGCCCGGCCGTTATCCAATCTCGACGGAGACACGCCTCTGTCCCGCCGCAGTTCGCTCTCTGATTGGTCGTCCTTACACACACACACACACACACACACACACACAACACGCGCGCGCGTGTCCCAGACCCTCACCTCGCCCATTCCCATCTTTTTCTCCCCCAATAGCTCCATTCTCGCTTGCTTGGCTTAACCAGTATGGCCTTTCCCAGGTACCCAGACATGCCAACCGTTCCTTGGAATGGCCAACCTCAACCTTTGCTTCAGTTTGTTTTAATCCTGACCTACTTGGCCGTGAGGAAAGAGTGGAGGTGTCCTCAGCCCTTGGTGCCCTAACCCAGAGATAGGAATGTTAAGTCCTCCTAACCCCCTCCCCCCTACCTCCGCTCCCAACCCCGCCACTTCCTTGAAACCCTGGAAAACCGAGGCCGGAGTTGAGGATGAATCATGCTGGGGAAGTAGCAGCAAAGAGCTCCCATGGTCCCATCTGCCTCCTTCAAGTCTGTGATTGTGGGTGGGAGGGAAATGGATTTTAATGAATTTTATTGTTGAGGTTATTGGTGTTGATGTTTGGGAAGGTGGTTGTTGAGGCTGCTGTGGTTTCTTTACAATTTCCTGAATTCCTGAACTGCTCCAGCTGGACACCCAGTAATAACCCTGGGGAGAAAATGGGGTCACCTTCTGGGCTTCTGGGATTATTGTCTTAAGGTTTCCTGATGGCGTCCTACGGTGCTCTTAAGGGCCCAGTGTTCTTCTCTTTCCCTCAGTCTGCACTTGTCTATTCAAACCTACTTTTTCCTTGCCTGTGTACTCAGCCCCAAAGAAATAAGTATTTTTAAACTTTCAAGGCCTTACTTGTCTGTTGCTTATTTCTCTCCTAGGTTTTATGAAAGTAAGGAAGAACTACAAGGCTTCATGGTAGTTTTCTTTTTCTTTTAAGTAGTTTATTTATTTATTTTTAGAGAAGGGAAGGGAGGAAGAGAAACATCACTATGTGGTTGCCTCTTGTGCGCCCCCTACTGAGAACCTGGCCAGCAACCCAGGCATGTGCCTAGACTGGGAATCCAACAGGAAACCCTTTGGTTCTCAGGCCAGTGCTGAGTCTACTGAGCCACACCAGCCAGGGCTCAATGTTTAATTTTCAATAAGATGGAGATTTGCAAAACAAGTGCTAAGATAACTAAATATACAATATTTGTAATCAAGATGTGGCTATAAACAGCTATACGCAGTAAAGCCTAGAGGCTCTGGAGCCAGAGGACCCAGGTAGGAATCCCAGCTCCACTTCCTTGACCTCAGCCACTGTCCAGGGAAGGGTCAAGTGGGAAGTCTTGCCCATGCTATCTAAATGACTCTCAAGTTTATTCCTTTGTATATCTCATCACCTCTCACCTGGTTACTATAGCCACTACCTTAGTCGTGTTAACTGGTTGCATCACCTCCTTCTCTAATACAGTGCTTCCCTCTCTTTATTGCATTAGAACCAGATGAGAATCCCCATACCTGACTAATCGCGAGATTCCTGAGCCCCAACCGCAGAGATTCTGACCCAGTAGTTGGTCCCAGACTATACTTTTATTTATTTTTCCTGAGGACATTTTTTCATTGCTTCTTTTAGAGAGAGAAGGAAGAGAGGAAAACGTCAGTGTGAAAGAGAAGCATTGATTGGTTGCCTCCCTTACGCTCCCGGATTGTATGTGCTGGGGCCAGGGATCGAACCACAGTCTCGGTATGTGCCTCGACAGGAAATCGAACCTACAAGCTTTCAACTATGGGATAACATTCCAACCAACTGAGCCACACTGGTCAGGGGCCAGAACATACTTTTCAAACCACCACTTTCTGACCTGGCTGGTGTGGCTCAGTGGACTGAGTGCCGGCCTGGGAACCAAAGGGTTGGCTCTCAGTTCCCAGTCAGAGCACATGCCTGGGTGCCCACCAGGTTTCCAGTTGGGAGTGTGCAAGAGGCAACCACACACTGATGTTTCTCTCCCTCCTTTCTTCTCTCTCTAAAAATAAATAAATACAGTCCTTTCTAAAAAAAGAAAATACAATTTCTTTAAAAGAAATTTTAAAGGATCATGCTACTTTCCTGCTTAAAACCCTTCAGTAGCTCTTGTATGTATGGCTGCTCCAAACATACCTTGACACTCAGAAGGTGATCAGCACATGTTTGATGGATGAATGAACAGAAGAATAAATATTAAGAGAATAATGCCATTGAGGTATTACAAGACATGGATTCAAACCCCAGCTCCACCATTAACTAGTCCTGTGATTTTAGGCAAGTTTCCTAACTTCTCTCTGACACTGTCATTTCAGTAAAACGTAGATAACCATACTTGTCTGCCTAACTCACAAGGCTGAGGTCAGTATACAAGTCAAATAATGTCAATGAATGTATATTGTGGCCCTGACTGGTGTGGCTCAGTTGGTTGGGCATGGTCCTGTAAAGCAAAAAGTCTCTGGTTCAATTCCTAGTCAGAGCACATGCCTGAGTTGTGGGCCCAGTCCCTGGTCAAGGGACGTGTGAGAGGCAACTGATCAATGTTTCTCTCTCACATCAATGTTTCTCTTCCTCTCTTTCTCCATTCCTTCCCCTCTCTCTAAAAATAAATAAATAAAATCTTGCCCTGGCTAGTGTGGCTCAGTGGATTGAGCTCCAGTCTGTGAACCAAAGTTTTGCTGGTTCGAGTCCCAGTCAGGGAAGGGTCAAGGCACATGTTTGGGCTCTGGGCCAGGTCCCCAGTTGGGGGTGTGTGAGAGGCAACCACACACCGATGTTTCTTTTGGTCTCTTTCTCCCTCCCTTTCCTTCTCTCTAAAAATAAATAAATAAAATATTTTAAAAACTAAAATTAAAAATTAAACAAAGAAGATATATTATGGACTAGACACAGAAATGTCAAGGTGAATCATTTTTGGAAGGTTTACAAATGCATATAGAATATGTATACTCAGTCCTGAGTTTCCCTCAAATGAAGACATTTTACATTGTCATTTCTTGTGAAGTTTAATGGCGAGGCTTGGTCTGGTACCTCTGTCATATAGATATTGTTCTCATACATGGTATTCAATAAGAGTTTATTATTACTTCATTACTTTATAATTTCTTGACTGTTGCCTATTTCCCCCACTAGTCCTTGAGCTTCATAAATGTAAACAATTATGTCTACTTTGCTCAACAACCTTACACTGGGCATATAGTAAGTATTCCAGTACTATTTGCTTTATGAGTGACTGAATGGATGAAATCCTCAGCCTGTAAATCTGGGTAATACTCTTTGTCTCTCCAAGATAACACAGAGGATTATCTCTTGGCCTCAGCTTTCTCATCTGTAAAATGGGGATAATATCCACCTCAGTGGCACATTTATGAAGATCAAACAAGATCATATATATTAAAGCACAGCCCTGGCTGGTGTGGCTCATTTGGTTGGACCCCCATTCAATAAACTGAAAGGTTGAAGGTTTGATTACCTGTCAGGGCACATGCTTAGGTTGCAAGTTCAGCATCTGATCAATGTTTCTCTCTCACATTGGTGTTTATCTTCCTCTCTTTTACCTTCCCTTCCCTCTCTCTAAAATCAATAGGCATGCCCTAGGGTGAGGATTAAAAAAATTAAAAATAAAATAAAATAAAGAGCATTATGCAATGTAAAGTGTTAAGCAAACAATAGTAACTATTACCCAAAAAGTGAATTTGTACAAATTTCAACTTCTCTTTAATAAAACTCAACTAAATTAACTGAAAAGGAGAGCCACGATGTGGTGATTGGTCTCACAACAATGTGAGTTTACTTAACGCCAACAAACTGTACACTTAGAAACAGTTATGACAGTAAATGTTATATATATTTTCCCTCAATTTAAACATTTTTTAAAAAGCCATGAAATGGAGATACACATTTTTAGTTTTTATTTATTGATTTGTGTATGTGAGAGAAATATTGATTTGCTGTTCCACGTATTTATGCATTTATTGGGTAGTTCTTGTATGTGCCCTGACTGGGGATTGAACCCGCAATTTTGACATATTGGGCCACTCTAACCAACTGAGATACCCAACCAGGGCAGGAAGTATAGTTTTAAGTAGGACACATAAAGAGTTAATGTGCATAATACGTAACAAGCTTATGTTTAGTCCTATCTCTCTAACCTTTGGTAAATGGCTAAGGACAGTTAGGCTCATCTTACAAACACCAGTGTCCCCAGATCTACCTCTCATTAACTGCCAGAAAGGTCTTTCTAAAATATACATTAGCTCATGTCATTCTTTTTCTCTCTTTTTTTTTTTTTGAGATTTTACTTATTTATTTTTAGAGAGAAGGGAAGGAAGGGAGAAAGAGAGGGAGAGAAACATCAATGTGAGAGAAACATCGATCTCGCATGCCCCCACCCCACAACTGGGGACCTGGCCTGCAACCCAGGCATGTGCCCTGACAAGGAATCTAACTGTGACCTTTCGGTTTTCAGGACGATGCCCAGTGCACTGAGCCACACCAGTCAGGGCTCGTGTCACTCCTCTTTAAGAACAACAACAACAGAAAAGCTTTAGGACAAAAGTCAGTTTCCTGAAGTAAGCCCTGCATTATTCATCATCCCTCAGCCCCAGGGTCCCACATCTTCACTGCAATGGGACAGTCACAATTCCAAAAACCGAGCACTATATTTTTAGGTTTTTCAACCCCTTTTTTCTCTCCCTAAATTATTCCCTCTCCCCAGACATTTTTTTCTCTCACCTGGACAAATCTCACCCATTGTTCAGCCCCTGCTTGAAGTCACTTGCCCTGCAAAAACCTGCTGTTTCAGACAGGACCGACCCCTTCCTACCTTGTCTTCTACCCACTGGATTTTGCACATTCTGCCTGCAAATATTGTGCTTCTACCAATTGAGTACACTCCGTCATTGATTTGCTATGTTATTCCGGCTCCCCGACCCTCTCCCCAAATGGCCATTTTTGTTAGGTCACTCATCATAGAGGGAAGCACACAGCACTTGGCACATAGTGGACACTCAAAATATGTCTTGATTTGAATTGAATAGGCACCTAGGAGGAAATTCAAACACTAAACACTTTTTAAGAGACTCAACTTCCTTAGTAATTAGGGAAATGCAAATTAAAGACTATGTATAGCATGGTCCCAATTAACAGCCATTAACCTGTGTAAAAA